ATCCAACTCTTACACTCCCTCCCTCTTTCGTCCTCGTCCGCAGCACGGGACGAACCGCATGCATCCGTTTCAAGCCTTCCAAACGACCTTCCAAAGCCCTCAACCTCCTCACCGCCTCCAACCCCCCCATCAAGCTCCCTTCAGATTCCATCACCACCACGTCGAAATGCTGCAACGAAAGTCGGTACAGACCGGCCAGCACCGAACGAGCCACGTCCACATGGAAACGCACGCCCTTCCCCCCGCCCTGGGCGGCTCGTTCCAAAGCTAGGGCCTGGTGGACATCTCGAACGACCAGGAGGAGGCGGAGGACGGGGACGCGCGGGGCAGTGGGAAAGGGTGGCTGTCGAAGCGAGAACGAGCAGGGAAAGGCAGAGCGGCCCACGTTGGAATCGGGATATGGTGGGAACACCCTCTCGGAGGATGGTGGGGCAGAGGTGGAGAAGGAGGGCCGTGGACGGTGCGTGGCGATGGGTTCGGAAGGGAGGTGCCGGGCAGCCACGCCCGCGCCCGAAGGCACCGGCATGGGCCCCAGGAGTCGCTCCACAGCAGCGGTCATGCCATGGCCGGGAGAAGGACCGGCGTCCATCCGCCTTTTTTTCCCCTCTTTTCTGATATTCTCCGCTTCCCCCATGTGCGAGCTCGAGGCTATCTCCGTGCTGGTGGCCATGGACTTGGTGTCCTCGGCAGGGTCTTCCTCCTGCCCGCCCGCCTGTCTGCCCAAAGCCTTCCCCGACGCAGTGGCATCAGAGGACGCGGGGTCGGCGCCACTCCTTCCCTTGTTCGAGTTTCCTCCCTGGGCCCTTCGCGCCATTTTTGTCAGGCCGCGGAGCTCGGGGAGGAGGGCGTCCAGGCCCTGCAATGAGCGGACCAGGGGGGCGAGGGAGGAAGCGGGTAAAGCTGCATCCGCTTGGAGGACTGGGGTGGCAGCGTCCAAGTCGAGGACAACGTCATGCAATTGCCGCTCGAGGCAGGAAGCGACCAAGGCGACTTCGGCGGCGAGATCCTCCCGGTCCCCGCGCGCCCCCGCCATGGACTGGTCGTCCTCTCCGCCCTCCCTTCTGCGCCCTCCACATGCCATTTCCCCCCGAGGCCATGCTTCAGTCCCCGCAATTTCTCTTCTTGGAAAGGCATTTTCGTCGTGCCACATGGCCTCACGGGCATGATCGTCGGACCATTGGGCTGCCGGCTGATCGTCTCGTTGCCTCGTACCTCCTACCAAGGCCCCAGGGTCCGTAATGTCGTGGTCTGCTCGGGGAAATTCTTCTCCTGCCATGAGGAGGAAAGATTGGCAAAGTCACGAATGAATGCGAGGGAGAAAGGGGTCATGGTGTCCGTTTGCCCCAAGGAATAAAGATCGAGGTCGAGCATGCAGGCCTGAGGGAGGGCTAATTTCCATGGTACGCACCCGTAGGGATGGACGAATAAGCAACGTTGAGGAAAAAAGAATCCGTTTGATAAGTAGTCCCCAATGACTCAAGCTGGTCTCTCTGTTAAAAATGACAGAATGAGGATCAATGAGCAAGGGTTGCAAAAACGGTGATGTGTTGGTAAGCTCGAAATAGGCACCAGGTAAGTTTCCAGTACGAGATAGCATCTTCTACTTAAAAAAATGTATCACTTTTAAGAATACCTGATCCTTGCAATGCAATACGGAGTTCAGTCAGTAAACAGCTTTATAATGAGCCAGGTGTTGCCTTTTGATGCTCCTCCGTCCTTCCCATCCGAGTTTTTCGCCCCAATAGATTTCTGTGCTGTGTTGACAGCTATCAGACGAGCATGTAATTGAAAACCCAATAAAGTACAGTGCAGTAGGATATGGAATGGTTTGTAGTGTCTCACGTTGGATCACAAGACAAAAAGGCCATAAGATGCAGCGAAGCTTGGCCGGAAACCTTCAAGCTTGACGCGTGGCAGGCATGTAAACCCAACATTTCATGGAGGCTCTCCCATCGATCCATCGCACTTCATGACGACAACATGCTGTCCAATCCCCCAGAGAACGAACCAAGATGCCCTTGCACGTAGAACGGCGGATTGCGTCACCGCGTAGTCAAGTTTTGGTACACTTGGAAGCTCTCTCAGCAGAAGACAGGACAGCGCATCAGCTCAGGCCCTGTCAGCTGACTCCCAGGCACCCTGGAAACCCAGGCGTCTCGCCAACACGAAACAATTCCTGGACAGGTATGCACAGGGGTGATCCCACGGCTAAGCATCGCGGGAGATTGAGGGGTTCTATGGGGTTGGTGGGTGAAAGTGTTGGGGCTGGAAGGGACTTTTTGCGAGGTGTGTCGCGGGGGGGGTACATGCCGCGTGCTTGGTACGTGCGTACCCGCTTTCCCTTCCCGAGTTGAAGGAGGGGAAGGAAGGAGGGGGAAACGAATTTGCCGTCTTCAATTCGTGGAATCGAAATGAAGATGTCACAAACGTGATCTCAAGGTCTTTAATTTGACCACATGTCATTTCTGCAAGGAATCCCTCATTTTGGGTCGATTGTGGGATCAGAAAGGGATGTATTGCCTAGGCCTTGAGAGACTAGAGCCTCCACATGGAAACCTAAACTATTGCGGCATGAGAGATGGAAATCATGATGCACGACTTTAAAGAACTTCTAAAGAATGCTGCATGGCAGGGGTTTTTATGTTGCTTTAATTGAAAGCGTCGGGCATATATGTGCTGTATCTGCCTCCAGAAAATCTAGGAAATTGATACTATCGAGAAATAGGAATTGAGATAGCACCATAAGGACGTATCGTGCAGCTAGTGAACTTTAGGCGTCGTATGAAAATGAGGTGGACTATATACTGCAAATATTACAATTGCCTCCATAGCAGGGTCCCGCAAAACACCAAATAAATAAGGCTTGTTACGGGACACCAGTTTACTCGAATTATAGAAAAATAATGATATGGGAAAATATACGTCGTATATTTAGTGATGCACATTGCAGATTTGTGAATATTTTCAGCCATCGTACGTTGGCTCATAAATTTCAAGACATAGAGAAGCAGGAAAAGGGAATGCTCCTTCCTTACTGAACCCAGAATATAAACATTGTTTCGTCATAGTTTTTGTGGAGAGAAATACTGAATGTGTCACTTCAGAGCATACGCGGTCTGGCTGAGCTGACTTGAACGGAAAAGAGCTAAGACGATCTGTTCTTTTTTTTTAAAAATTCGCTGCAGATCAATTTTCTTTGATATAAAGGGACGTTGGCAAGTGATTTCCTCTGCGCTACTGGTAATAAATATAACGCGAAACATTGTCGAGCAGAACAATTCTTATGCTTGTTCCAAACGCGAAGGAAAATTTCCCAAAGTGTACTGTACCGAAAAAAAGCAAAAAAAGTCTGAGAGGACCTTTCGATGCTGCGAATACTACACGATGGCTTTGTATGCTCAACAGCTAAAAACTTCTCGGCCTACTTCCTGGCAGATTGTTTCCTCTTGTGGAGGCGTAAATACACTCACTCACTGCGTGTAATCCACCAAGAATAACGACAAGAAATAAATAATATTTATAACACGGAAATCCTGTCAAAAGGGCATGAACAGCCTCGCCCCACCGAAAATGAAGCCCAAAAAAGCGTCCATGTGACGCTCCTGTTGCCGAGGGGGGGAGGAATTTTAAAAATGGCGCGAAAGCTTTCCGTTTCTTTGATGTCTCGGATACCTGCTTCCCCGGACCATGTCGACCCCTTGAAGATTTTCGTAGGCAAAAGCCGCGGATGCTCTTTGTGAGAGGGATGCGGGATGCTGATGGGTGGTTTATAGGCATCAAAATAGATTTGCTCTAAAGACAGCGATGGTGGTCGGCGTGATGCAACCAAAATGAGTGCCACCATCATTGTGACTTACCTCCTTGTCGTGTGCCCGGGTGCGAACGCTCTTGCTTCAAACCGAAGCTTCACAACAAAACAAATCATCCAACTCTTACACTTTGCCCTCTTCCTTATCATAGAATCCATGACCGGGAATGTCGTGGTCATTCGGAAACAGATGGCCTTCAGAAGACAGTTTCTCTTTATCCTGGGCCTCGGCCTCCTCCTTTTCCTTCATGTTGTCAGCATCACCCACGCGTTCTTTGTCAAGCCACGACCCTTTTCCACCAAGTCCACATATTTAAATTCCGCGTCTACTTCTTGCTACACTTGGCCACAAGCGCAAGTGTCTCCTTCACCACTTGTAAGTGCGGCCCGCAGGGGTACGTTGCACTGGACAAAGCAAAGCTACCCATCCGCACTTCGTGCCATGGGCTCTTCAGAGGTACGTGTATGGACCTCAGTCTTCTCGTCGTGTAATTTTCCCTTTCGCTCGCTGTCAATCTTTGCACCTACCCGCCTGCCTTGCCAATGTTGTCTCCCTGGTTTTTCGGCCCTGAAGTACCTCACATCGTACGGACTGCCCTCCTCCCCCCCTCGACATCCTTCCCCTACCTTAACCCCCAGATACTCTTGGCCGCTGATTTGAAAAAAGTCTTGTCGGATGACATATACGGGCCCATGTTCTTGCAGGCCCTTTTTTTGTCCGTCTCGGGCTTCCTGGCTGCTGCTGCGTTGGCAGGTCTCTCCTTCTCCCTCCTCTCTCCTCCCTTCTTCTTCTTCCTTCCGCCTTGTCCTCCCACCCGCCCCTCAGGCCATCTCCCTTTCCTTCTTATCTACCACATCCGCCCTTGTC